TGGACGTGGATGACAGTTGAGCAATTATTTCCGTCTTCTTAGTATTGATTTGTAGGCCGATGGAGTGGTAGAAGGAGGAGACCAGATTGAGGGCGTGTTGCATGGATTCTGGGGTGTGAGCCAAGATTGCACAGTCGTCTGTATATGGCAGTTCAAATATCTGTTGGGTTTTGGTTTTTGTGTGTGCTTGGAGGCGTCTTACGTTGAAGAGATTTCCATCCAGACAGTACTGTAGCTGGATTCCATCGATTGAGTTGAGGGAGTTATGTGATAGACTTGTGACGGCAGCAAGGAGCATGTTGAATATAGCTGAACCAGAACACAGCCTTGCTTGACCCCGACATCAACGTTGAAAGGCTCCGATTGAATCACACCAAGCACTACTCTGGCATGTATTTCTTCATGGAACTGTTTTAGAATGCTCAAAAACTTGGGAGGCACCCCAAATTTGATGACCTGCTGCCAGAGTATCTCACAGTTGATGGTCTCGAATACTTTGGTGAGGTCGATAAAAGCTATGAAGAGGTCAATGATTTGCTCCCGGCATTTTCTCCGCAGTTACTTTGCCACAAATATCACGTCGGTGGTGCTCCTGTCTTTCCTGAAGCTGCACTGGGATTCTGGTAGGACGTTTTTAATATCGGTTATCTGCGAGCCAGTAGAGCATTATTCTGGCGAGGACCTTTCTGGTGACTGAAGGAAGGGAGATACCTCTGCTATTGCCGCAAGCTACGTTGTCACCCTTCTTATTGTAGATAACTACAATATTTTCATCCTTCCATTACTGTGGGATGGTTTCTGACAGCCAGATGACTTGATGAGAAGGTGTAAATGGCGAAGGATGAGGTATCCCCCGTGCTTCAAGATCTCAGATGAGATGCTGTCAGGTCCAGCACTTTTGTTGTTTTTCAGGCCTTTGACCGCTTAGTGGCCTCAGAAAATTGTGGTTGACTGTCAAGTTTATGAATGGGTGGGATATCAGGGAGTGTGTCAAGGATGAGTGGGTATGTGGGGTTGATGTGGTTGAGGAGGTTATCAAAGTGCTCCACCCATTTCTCCAAGATCTTTTGTTGGTCCTTGGAATGCGTTTTGCCATCAACAGGCATGACTGGGGTGATGGTTGTTTTGGGGGGCCATAGAGGGCTTTGATGGCATTATAAAACCGTTGGGTGTTGTTTGCATCTGCGAGGATTTGGATCTCATCTGCCGTTTGGACCTACCAGGTGTCCTCCATGGCATGGAGAGCACGTTGGGACTCTGCTTTTGCCTTGGAGCGAGAGGATTGGAGAGTGGGGTAGTCTGGGTTGGTAAGAACGGCTTTGTGGGCTTGGCGTTTGTAGTAGTGTGTGGATGTCGGCAGCGTTTTCATAAAACCAGTCTGGGTGATGCTTTTTGGTGTACCCGATTGATTCCGAGGCTGCCTGGAAGATAGCTGTGCACAACTCAATCCATGTAGTGTTGGGGTCGGAGTCCGGGGAGTTTGGGGGAATTTCGTGGAGAAGAGATGCTGCAGGTTGTTAGTGGACGGATCTCAATGCAGAGCTTGGCTTTGATCATACAGTGATCAGTCTAACATTCTGCTCCACGCATGGCTTGGGTCACTAGTACCTCCTTTTGGTCGCACTGATGGATGATGATGTAATTTAGCAGGTGCCTGTGTTTTGAGCAGGGGTGTTTCTATGACTTATTGTGTTTGTCCTTCAACTGGAACAGGGTGTTGGTGATCACTTGGTGGTGTTCGGAAAATAGGGACAGTAGCCGCAGCCCGTTGCCGTTCTGCTTAACTCCCCCCATGCCAGCCTAGTACACAGTCCCAGATATGGTGTTCGGAGCCCACTCTGGCGTTGAAGTTTCCAATGAGGAATAGCTTTACTGTATGTGGTGTGTTTTTAATGGCAGTGTCGATAGCTTTATAGAATGCCTCCTTCACGTCATTGTCTGCGTCCAGTGTAGGCGCATGAGCACTGATGAGCATGGCAGAGCGTCCCCCAGCCAAGGGGATGTGCTACGTCATCAGCCACTCACTAATGCCAACAGGGGATAGAGGGACGCGTTGGAGGATTGAGGTTTTCACAGCAAAACCCACTCCATGGAGACGGCGAGCATCTTCTGGAACACTCTTCCAGAAGAAGCTGTAGCCCTCATCCACCTCTGTGAGAGAGTCTCCATGGAAGCGGGTTTCACTGAATGCTGATGTTGTATTTCCTGAGTTCATGGGTCACGAGAGCTGTCCTTCTGTGTGGTTTGTCAGTTTTTTTCGTAAGAGTCCAAGACGGTGTGGATGTTCCATGAAGCAGCTTAAAGAAGTAAACAAGTCTTTGGTTTCCTTGAGTTTCGGTCACTAAATGGAATGCTCGGTTGGTAGCAGCTAACCACCCGGAGTGAGTGGAACAGACACTTTTAGACCACTTTTACTAGGTCTTTCCCCATTAGGGGTGAGCAGTGGAGGGCTGCTCAGACATGATGGAAGCTGCCGAGGAGACATGCCGTGTCTCAGCGACCGATACTCCTAGATGCTCCCAGTCACCTCCTTGACCTGTACCTTCTGCCATTTGCTGTTTGCCACAGGGCTTTAAAAAAGGTGGGGGGGGGGGGTTGGAGCAAGAAGCTTGCACAGCGAGTGGATTAAAGTGAGGGTAGGGGTGTGCATTCCCAATGCCTACCATCTTCACTCCAGCCAAACAGACTCAGGTGGCATGAGGAACTCACGACGACCTTCGTCTGGCCAGAGCTGCAGGGGACTGCCGGAGAATCGTTTTGTTGAATACCACTGTTGCGGGTCCCCACCACAGATTTGAGTCAGAGTTTTCTCCCCTAGCCAAAGTTTACCCACAAGGCAGTGGGGCAGTGGTTGGGAAGTTGGAGATACCTCTGAGGACCACTGCAGCTCCGAGATCCCCTACTGCTTTGGTCTTGTGTCGCGAGATACCAGTTACCGTGGGCTGCAAACGGGGAGGCACAGTAGGAGTCTTGGTGATGGAGAGGCTCTGTACTTGCAAGGAAGACTTACGCGCTCAGCTTCCTGTTTCACCATGGCGGAGAGCCAGCGGCAGCATTTGACAGCATGGGTAGCAAAACATAGCAGGCAAGCGAGCATGCAAGCAGAGCAGCAGGCAGTTAGATGATTTTTTTTAAATTGACGTTTGCTGGAGATTACATCCAGTGTCATTAGGAGCCGAGCATTTTGTTCACATGTGATGTTCCTGGATGTAATCTCCAGTGAAACGTCGATTTAAAAAAACACCATAGTCAACTTGTTGCTCACTTTCCAATATTCCTCCTCCTCCGGATTTTGCTGAAAATCCAAATCAATTGGCAAAATTTGCCCCAACGTGAGCACTCGATTTTGGTTGACTCTGCTGGGTGGCGGAGGGTTATGATTGAAACTAATTGATATTATACCTACAAGACGATCTAGCCCAAAATAAACTAATTATAAATCATGGTGGAAAGTGTTTATTCACGCATTATTTTATATCAGTAGAGTAGCGGTTCTCTACTGATGCCTTTCGTTTTAAGACGCTCTGTACATTATTAAGTATTTGTATTGAACGGCTGTCCAAACCAAGGTGCGCGGGCTCGGATTTGTCGCTAATTCCGTTATGATCTTCGAGAACACTCTGTATGCATGTCTTTAACCAATATATGTAATGTTCCAAATAAGGTTTGTTTCTTTATTTAATCGAGGTTTTTTGAACAGGAGGATTTCTCCACAATTCTCGCTGTCCTCTGATGAGACTGGTTGTAATTACTGGCGATACGTCGTACTCGATTTGTAAATGTGGGTTTACTCTCCAGGACACCGGTGTGCTGAAGTAGTAACGAATTGGTATATTTTGTTTACATGAGAAAACTTACTAATTGGTTGTTTCGGGTGGTGGTGAGTATAACGATGCATTTATATTTACGCGATCTAATCCAAAAAAACCCTTATTATGGATAATATTGGCTGCGAAAACCTCCTTATTAAATGCTTTATTTCAATTGTAAAAAATGTATCGTGGCAAAAAAAGGCATTTGATTTTGTGTAAACATTGGGTAGTAAATCAATCCAGTCATTGATTTGCAATAGCTGTTACTACTTGTTTTGTTTGTTATGCCCACAGTCATTACATATGGAACGAGAATGTTCCCTGTTTAAATATTGTAAAGGGCAATGGTTACTTCTTCAAGTATGACATCTAGAACCATCTCCTCTTACTCTAACAAATTGTTTCCTAGCAGAAAGAGGGACATATGAGACATAGAATATACAGAGGAAGACAAAGGGACAGATAGATAGATGGTGGTGAACCCAGACACAGAGAGAACAATAGGAAGACAAAGATGATTGACTATGGCTTCCCGCTTGTCTGCCTGCCAGCTTTTCTGTGGTGCCTCAGTGAGTGTGAGAATCAATTTACATGCACAACGCTATATCCAACTAAATATTATTATTCATGCAGTTCTTCAAGAACTCGTGGTATTGCATAATGTTTAAGGCTATAAGGCAGAAAGAGATAGAGAGATAGAAAATACAAATACAGGGAGACAGAGGTGAACAGAGTCTTGTCAGTTTATTGACAAACCCCATATCAACTATTGTATTTAGCGTTAAATTATAATTTGTGTGAATAGGACACAGAATATGAAGGAGGTTGCTGAGAGGATATATATCGCTGAGTTTTGATTGCTGTCCCCTCGAATGGTTGCATGATTTTCTCCAGGCCCTGCGATTTCCTCCTACACGTGGACACACCAACTGCTCAAGGACAGGAAGTGGCCAAACATCTTAGAGGACGCTTTTAATTTTCCCAAAATTGTAAGAAACAGAGATGGTCAGGAGCTATAGGATGTAAGTGCCCCAGACACTGATTCTGGGTGAATGACTGTGCTAGAGAGAGGCAAGACAAATGCATGCAAGGAACAGTGGACAAGTTGGCAAAGGAGTGACTGTGAAGCGAGCAGAAGTCCTTTAACTGATTGAGACGCTGGGCACTGAAAAGTTCGAAGGGGGCACCATGAACTCCAGCCTGGCTCTGGGACTCATGGATGGGGATCCTGACCACAATGCCTCCAACGTGGAGCCACTGATCTGTCTGATCCGGGAGTCCGGTCTCCTCTGCCGCCCAGCTCGAATGTCTGCCCGCATCGCCAACATCATCTTGCTCATCATGATTGTTACCATGGTGTTGAACGTCCTGGGAAACATGACCATCATCATGGCTATCTCCTACTTCAAGCAGCTGCAGGTGCTGCCCAACACCTTCACCCTTTCCCTGGCGGTGGCCGACATCATGGTGGGCGTAGTGGTGATGCCCTTCTACACGACGCAGTGCGTCTACGACTGCTGGTTCTACGGCCAAACATTCTGCAAGGTCCACCACTTCCTTGATGCCTTCGTGTGTACCGCCTCCACCTGGCACCTCTGCTGCATCGCCTACGAGCGATACCTGGCCATTTGCGACCCGATGCACTATAGGGAGCGCTTTACCTGGAAGACAGCAGCCCTGCTTCTTGTCACCATATGGCTCGGGACGGTGTTCCAAGTGGTGCCCGTGATGCTAGGATGGATTGTCATCGGCATCGAGGACCTGATGGCAAGCCGCATCTGTAAGAACAACTGCATCTTCTACATGAACAAGACATTATCGAGCTGTGGTGCCTTCCTCACCTTCGTGGTGCCTGTAACTGTAATGACCCTTGCCTACGCGAAGATTTACCGCGTGGCACGCAAGCAGGCCCGCTCCATCAGCATCCAGCAGCAAGGGAGCCAGGGCAAGTCGGGCTTCAACAAGCAGCAGTGGGCAGCCATGAAACGAGAGCACAACGCCACCAAGACTGTGTCCATCATTCTGGGTGTCTTCATTTTCTGCTATGCGCCATTTTTTTACACCATCGTCAAAGATCCCTGGATCGATTTTAGAACAAATTCCTTCACCTGGGACATGGTAAACTGGTTCGGGCATGTTAACTCAGCCATCAACCCTTACCTATACGGGGGCTTCAACCGCGCGTTTCGTAACGCCATCCGCATCATGTTTAGCCGCAAGTTTTGGCAGCCTGGGAGCCGCTCAGCCGAGCTGTGAGGGTCCAATGAGGTCCTAAATTTGATATCTAGGTTTTAATTTAACATTAAATCGAGTTCATCTTCTTGGTTCTTTCGGTAAAGTCACGTAGAAGGGAAGTAATAAAATAATAAAAATAAAACATAATAAAATAATTCTCACGACGTTTCGGCCACAACGCAAGCAGCCGTCCTCAGGTGAAGAATGAAACACCACCAAGCTTGGAGCGTATATTTAAGCTGGGTTGGAGGGGGGGAGGTGGGAAGAAGAGCGCCTTGACAAAATAATTTGCATATCAAGAGGAATTTAGCATATGGAAAATGCGTAGGAGGTGGGCGGGGGGGGGGTTCAAATTAATATTATGCCCGTGCATTATGCAAGATTAGCAGCATCAAAGGGAGGGGGAAGGGGGGTAGCATTAACAAAGGAAAGGAATGTTAATAGTATGTAGCTGCAGTTACTAAACAACCACGTAAAAAACTAAAGTATAAACTACATAAACAACTAAAGTATAAACTACATAGCATCATCAGTATACTTACTATACTCTACAATAAGCTGAGTTACTAACAGTAAGTAATACATTACAATTCTACTTCGTAAAAATTATATAATATGCTTCCATCTAAACTTTATTCTCTTACATCACACGAGTCTACACCGTACTATATACTGCCATAAACAAACCCAACATTAAATTACATACTGTATTGCTATAAACCACCCTATACCTTATACATTTTAATATAACACTATGTATTATTCTACCCACCCTAATGTGTATCACACTGCTATATGTTTACTATACAATTACGATACTATATATTACTTTGTACATTGTATTAAGCATATAAATGTTATACTATTTGTTATTATACACTGTACCATTGACCGTCGTGTCAATGGGTGAGTCGTGGGGGAAACTTGCAGCGGAGCAAAGAATCCATTCCCTGCGGAGAATACAATGCCAGTGAGTGGAACGCGGTCTGAAAGTCACCGTAAACGTGAACACAATCAGTTAAGATCCGAAGTGGTTTATTACGTCCTTCCAATGATTGCTAAGCCAGAATCCATCTTCTCGGTTGAAATTGTCTCTGTGTTTGTATATGTGGATCGCCTCATGAACGAATCTCTCATGATAGCTAGATGGCTTGCAGAGAACCTCTGTCTTGGAGAAGTCAATGTCATGTGAGTCCACTGAGTTGTAACAGTGATCTGCCACGGCTGAGGTGTTTGTCCTACCGTGTTTCAGGTCTGCTTTATGTTCACGGATGCGGTCCGAGACATGTCGTTTGGTTTCTCCAATGTAACTGCTACCACAGAGGCAACTTAGTTTGTAGACGCCAGGGTACTGTATGTCTGGTATAGGCTTGGACGGAGTTGGTGGAGGATTGAGTCAAAATGGCAAAGAGCAAAAACTAACTTATATATATTTCTTACTTTGTGAGCACCGAAACCGATTCCTCGACATAATGTAGAGCCCTAGCCGCATGGTGGTGATCAGCTTCCGTTACGGACAAACTCCATCGTCCGACGCTGAACGCCCAGGTATCCACGTGAGCATGTGCCCCGTACCGTGCAGGGGAATGTCAAGTGACAAATTAGTAATCGCACGTTAAGACGTTATCATTTTAAGAGCGTGCGTAAAATCATAGCCAACGGATCTCATCGAGCATACTTTCGGTATGCGTAAGTGTGGTATTTCTACGAGTTGCTCAACCCTTTTTAAGCTGACGATGCGGGTGTCGAACTGAGTATTTGATAAAATCGGATCCACATTGTTCCCATAATTATAGCAGTAGTGCCCGATATTTCGATATATGATCTAGTCGATCTTCGCGCCGTGATCACGAACACCCGTTAGATCTACATTACTCACCACTTAAGGCGCGGCATGGCGGTCACACTTCAGTCCCTTCTTCCAGATTAGGATGTCGTCAATGCTAGTTGATATTGCAAGATTACAATGTTTCTATTCAGGTAACCATGCCTATATAATGGCCGTTTGAACAGCGACACGCAAAGCGATCTCCTACTACGCGCAGCACTGGAGATCCAAGATACTTGGAAAGCAGTGTGGCGAACGGCATGTGATTGAAATGGGCGCAGGAAATCATAGTAACGCGGTAGGGATATTAAAAGGCGCGAACCACTAGTTACCGTCGGGTGCCGCGTCTCCTCAAGCAAGACCTACTATACGTATTACATCAGAGGAGATCAGGGAAAAATGTCACTGCCCTTACAAGGCGTTACTGGGAAAATATGGGCTCTCTGCCCTCCTTTGGGCACGCCGGATTCCACGTTTCCATAGATCGGTTCCTATTGTCTACTACACAATGGTGAGTTTTCAATATTCAATCCCCGTGACGTATGAGATCACAGCATACCGAAGGTGGGTAGACGTTTCTGCGTCATCGATATTGACTCAATAAGTGTATGCGGATACTTTTGACGTTCAGAGATGTCCCCAAATAGCGGGTCGTGTTATGGCTTGCCCTCACGTTTGCAAGAGCTCGAGAGCTGAGTAACTTGATACAGGGGGACGTCACATCAACCATCTATTAAAGGCTCAACCCTGCGTCCGCGTCCTATAGTGATTTTGCTTCTGCCAACCTCTGACAGGGGTAAAAACCCATGACACTCGTACCTCGACCGCTACGTCTCTGTCGTCATATCTACGACCTTCTTCGATGTGGCCGGGCGCCCTCAAAATCGTGGTACCGTTAACTCGTCAACTGTCATAGATACCTTGTGCTATTGGGTGTGGTGGCGCGGTGGCAGCCGGGCCTAGACCTTCGGAAAACCGGGAATATTTTTACGACGCCTTTGTTGTATACCTCCAGGATCGAAGGGGAATAACGAGCCAATTCCTGTGCCCTCAGCGAACACCACAGCTGTAGACAAAATCGCGAATCATAAAACGATACAGCTTTGTCCCACTTCATTGCCAAGCTTCCTATAATAAAACTCCCTCTTCGGTATAGCCCGGCTAAACAAAGTAGTTACCTGTGTCGCAACGCACGATTCAGGAGCGTCCCTGAGTTGTATATTGTTGTTCGACTTTTTTGCCACGCTTTCATCGAGGCTACGAGATTAACACCGTCCGGAAGGATAGGCCCACTCGCCGGGACTAGGAGCGCTTCGTCATGAGAGCTTAATCATCCGTAAGCTAGGGCCGCAATCGGGCCGTGCCAGTCTCTCATCGCGAAGCATAGACGACGGAGTCTTCACCGTAGGTTCACGGGCGGTATGTTTCAGGGGCGCAGACCTCCGAACCGGTCATGCCATGTAGATAGACACTGACAGCATATAGTGGGACATATCGTAAATCATAGAAGGGGGGACCCGGACCGCCCCAGAAGCTATGCCGCCACTTGAGCTGGTGTATTTTTCGGTGTGTTCCTTCTGTCCTGATGCGGTGTACGGTCGTGAACCGGCATTGCTTGATATCGACTTCCCCAGGAAGGCTACCAGCCGGCCCCTCAAATAATACTGTAAATGTATGTGCTTACTTCTCTCAGTTGCCGTCTGCGCGGCATAAACCCCCGGTCGCTTCGTCTGAATTGGGTCTGAATGAATCTCACTTCGCGCGGGTTTGGGTTCCATGGCCCACTCTCAACGTGGAACACGGTTGAAGACCTCCTAACTTACATGGTCAATGTGTTGTTGTTATGCCGGCACTCCAGTGTGGGTGTATGGATGAAAGAAATCTGCGGACTGTTACGTGAGTGGATCCCACGCCCGACTGCTCCGTTATACTTGCTGGCACTAACCCTTAGATTGTACAGTACGTCAAGATCGTTTGAGCAAGCTAGATTACCGTCAGCCGCATCGATACATTTGGATCGCCTACGTTTGGTCGACTCTATACATCACCATCTGCTGGGAATAAATACCCGGCACGGCCAATGGTAGCGACGGAGACGGTAGTCGGGGAGACGATCTGTGTAACGACCGGAATACACGTCTCGCTCAGTCCTTCCAATCGATAGCTCACAGACTCCAATAGCGCTCACTGGTACATAGGAACCAGCCCTAAATCTTTAGTGTCCGTGCGATACGGTATCGTCTTAGTTATGGAGTTTGCGGCATGAGCTGGACCGAAGCCGGACCCGTACGACCGTCCAAAAAAATGGTAGATCGCGAACACGTGTAAGTGTTTAAGCGTCCAACATGGCATCGTGTGATGTGTAGGTACTGCTCACGTTAATTGGCCTCTAGCTCGCGCTTGCTCGATCATCCCTCGTCGTGTAAGGGTTGCTGTTTATTGCGCAAGTGTGTGTTGCTTTTAATGTTTCCATAAGCACCTACGGGGAATAGGTCTTGCTGATACGGGTACATCCGAACTATGGGCGAGGTGACACCATGACCCATAGGATGGAGTCTAAGTACGAACTAGTTTTCTATTATCACAGCTGGGTGAATATCTATGACCATAGATTATTTAGGAATACCGCTCTTAGATACAGTAAAACACGTGTGCATATCCGGAGGCCGGAGTGCCTATGGGAGAAAACTTCTTGTAGTACTTCTTTCGGTGCCTCGTACCGAGTATAATAGTCTTACATGGATGCCCTCAGGGTTGACGTCGCGGCCATCTAAACGCTGACCTTCAACTGGGATAGTCTCGGGAGGCCCCATATTGACGTGTCGCAGAAGCGCCTGCTGATAGAGGATCTAATCTGTCAAACGGTAAAGAGAGCCTTTTAGCATATAGCTTTTTAGCCCGTGCGCAGATTACCTTTATAAGCAAGTTTCTACGCGCTACATAACTTCGGTTGTGTCCCCGGTGGCTGCTTTAGCGCCACGGAACTTCTAATTACTCCATTAGAGGTGAGTACGTGCGTCAAACAGCTCAGTATGCCACTTACCGAGGGCGCTAACAACCTGAATGATACTTGCTAGTCGGGGTAACAGGAACTGCCGTGAAATATAATAAAGATTAAGTGCCCTCATCCACAAGCCGATGAGTGCCTGTTATAGCGAAATGCAGTCTCACTTACCAGTGGGTTCCTCAGAGG